TAAGCAAATCATTTATTAATTAAATTTATTTATTATAAAAATTCAAAAAAGAAGAAGAGCGGCATTAAAAGAGATATTTGCCCGAATCATTCACGATTTATTTAAATCAAAATAATTCAATCTACTTTCTCTATTTAGAATTATTAAATTCAAATTAAAAATACAAAATATCGATTTTTTTAAAGATCTTATAAATATAAAAATAAAAATAGAAGACCCGAAGAAAAAGAGATTACAAATCATTATGCCATGAAAATATTCATCGATTAATAGGTAGATAAATAATGAGAGACAGATAAAAAGAGAGACCAATAGACAGTCGCCAGCCAGACAAATAACCAACCAACCAAACGACAGACAGACAAACAAACAGACAGACCAGACAGAGAAACAAAGGCAGACACAGACAGACACATACCCAAAAAAACAGACAAACACAAACAGACACGGACCGAGACAGAGAGAGACAAACAGAGAGAGAGAGACAGAGAGACACAGACACACAGACACAGACAGACAGCACAAACAGACAGGCACAGACAGACGGACACAATTAGTTAAACAGACACAGACAGACACAGATAGGCAGACAAACAGACAGACTAAGAATCTAATGACAAAGTGGCTGTCCATGCTTCTTGATCTCACAGCTAAAACAGCTCCTGCTTGCCAAAAGCAAGCAGAAAGGGTCTTGCGTCGCCTCGGTTTCGTCTTTGAGACCCAGTGAGTCCGTGCTGCTTCGCCGCTGGAAGAGGTTGCACAGGGCTGCTGTCGAAAGGCAAATTTCCCATCACGGCAGCTCTCCGTTGAGTGCTTCTCAGGTTCGGCACTGGACTATCTTGGTCGGGCACATCAACCTTCCTGCCAATCAGGCTGAGGCCATCAGCGTCGCTAGTGCTGCTGTGCAGGCCGAAGCCAAGCGGCTCCAAAACGAAAGCTGCAAGCGATGGAGGCGGCAGTTCTGGACTTCCTCGGCGTCCGCCGTTAAGGCCGGTGCTAAGGCCCTTAAGCTTTGCGAACCTCCTGACCCGAACCTTAACTCTGCCACCATGACTGAGGAGTGGGAAAAGCTTTGGACTAAAACCCACCCTGCCCCTCAAGAGGCTTGGGACGAAGTCGCCAGTGCTGCTGGTCTCGACCCTGCTCCTAGTGTGTCGGCTTTCCAGCCCCCCTCGGCTGAGCAGCTGATGCAAGCCATTGCAACCTGCTCTGGCAGCGCTGGTTTTGACGGCTGGTCTGCCAGCGAGCTCAAAGGCCTTATGCGCGCTTGTCCCTGTCTCGCTAACGATCTCGTGAGGATTTTCGTTTCCTTGCTGAAGGCTCCCCGCTCTGAGCCTGCGCAAAAGTGTCGGAGCCGCTTCTTCTCTTGGCGTGTCGTGGGCATTCCCAAGAGATGTGAGGCTGCTACTCGCCCAATTGCCATTGCTAGCACTCTCGTTCGGGCATGGAATCGGGCCATGCTTCGTGGTTTGCCCGCGGTCCCGGACGGGCAGTTCTGTGGTGTTTCGGGCTGTAGCACGATCGATGCTACCACGGCGTGGCCGAGCTCGACTTGTGTAAGACCTTCGACAGCATTAACCACGGCATTGCTGCGTGTGCCGGTGCTGCGGCGGGCCTCCCTGAGCCTGTTTTAAAGTACTTTAGACACTTGGTCTGGTCGGCCCCGCGCGCCTGCATGGTCCAGGCTGTGCCTCCTCCCAGGGTCGTCGAAGCTTCTTTAGGACTACCGGCCGGGGACCCTTGCTCCCCGCACTTCCTGGCTTGTGTCCTTGCTCCCTGGACAAACCTTGTGGAGATGCTGCCAGGCGTTAAGCCTTTCGCCTATATGGATGACAGATCCCTCACTGACGCGGATTTTTCCTTGCCCAGAGCGCTTCAGCTCACCTCTTGGAGTGACCCGCGGCTTGGCCTTGTGGAGCACATGGGGAAGCGACACGAATGGTGCTGCCGCGCCTGCAGCGAGCTTCTTTGTGACCTTGCCCGTGCCGTGGGTGGGCTACCTGATAGCATGGAGACCCGTGAGCGACTCCTGTCTTTGGTGCTCCCAAAGATTTCCTGGGCTTCGCCTTTGCTGCCCCAAGTCCCTGACTCCGTCGTCAAAGCTTTCTGTCTTGCCTGTCGCAGCTCTTGCTCCTGGTGGTGTAAAGGCCGAGTGTGGGCTGACCACATTATGTTCCACCCGTAATATGCGACAGCCATCAAACGCCTCACCGCTGCCTCCAGACAGCTTGATACTGTCAGGAAAAGGCACCCGGGTCGGGCTCTGCCTCGCTTTGAAGCGGCTGCAGACGAAGGCCACACTTTGAGAATGGTTGCTCGTGCGTTGACTTTACAGGCCATCAATGCTGAACGAGAAGACTCTGAAGGCTCCCATGCCATCGATTTGGAGGCCCAGTCCCGCCCCACCTGGGTCCGCCGAAGCGCAGCCTGCGGCGCTTTCCGTAGTCTTCTTTCCTCCACATCCGGCGTGGGGGAGCTGTCAAGACCAAGACTCGGAGATGGTATGGGCAGGACGCTTTGACTCAGTGCAGTTGCGGTGCTCCACACGCTTCTCCATGCATCTGTTTGCGCACTATCAGCTTTTAGACGCGGAGCGGGCTAGGCTGTCTCAACAGTTTGGCATCCCTCAGGCCTGGTGGGCCTCCCAGCCTCGGGTCACGGCCAAATCTGGCTGGGGCATTCTAGGCGTCGCTGTGTCCGAAACTCAACGAGTAGACAGGCAAATTGCTGCTTGTATTTTGGGCATTTCCATTGTACAAATGGGCGATATGGCCTCTGAGACTACTTCTAAGACTGATACATGAGTTTTCTTACTTTTCTTGAACTGGAAGCCTGGCTTCTCGCCAATCCTCACCCTTTTGGGTTAGTCTGTGTTGCTTCGGTTGTTCCGACTTGTGCTACCGCACTCGTCGCCCTTGTCCTTTGTCCCTAGGGTTTAGTCCTAAGGCAACTCCCGCCGCTGTGCGGCCTACTACAGTTTCTGAGCCTAGACGCCTAACTCATACAACTAACTACGCCTGCCTTAGGCTTTTGGGTCGGTTTAGTCCCGGTTTCTTCCCCCCTAGCTGTCACGGTACGCTACGACTCGTCTCGCTGGTCGATCTCCCTTTCCCCCCTTCCCCTGCTTCTAACCGCCGTCACCTACATACATTTCGCAGCACGTCGTGGAATGCCGGCGAAGGCGCACGAGGGAGAGGTCCCTTCAAAATAATTCTCTAATAAAGCGGTGCCGTGCTCGCCCTAGCCCCTGTAACCTCGTCCTTTAGCGCGCTTCCTTTTAAAAGCATCTTGTGTGCCTATCTCGCGATATTTAAATTTCAGAAATTTTAGTACCGGGATCACTTATCTCTACCGGTATTATCTCGGTGCCAAAATTTCCGAAATTTTGGTAGCTTCAAGAAATCTCACGATAGTACAAATTTCGGAATTTTGGTAGCTTTAGGGCGACTCGCTCCTGGTAACCAAATTTCCGAAATTTTCGGTAGGCATACTCGCGGTCATAAAATTTCCGAAATGTTTGGGACATGCTCGCGGTAATCAAACTTCCGCAATCTTCATCCGATTTTAGGGCCGCTCGAAGAGCACGCAAGAGGCTTGCAAGAGGAAGCGCATCAGGATTTGAGTGCCGAAATTTCACCACAACGACACTCTGCCACAACACGAACGCCCTTGCCAGCCACTTCGCGACACGCCCCTCCACACGCCCTCACCCGCACTCCACGACACTCCCCACGACACACGTGCTCTCCGCGACGCTCCATGCCCACGACGCATATGCCCCGCCCGCACTCCACGACACTCCCACGAAACTATGCGCTCGCCCGCCACTCCGCCCTCGCCCACACTCCCGTGACACATCTCGACACGCGCTCACCCGCCGCTCTGCGACACTCCCCACGACACACAGGCCCTCGCCCGCAACTTGCGTTTTCACGTTCCGACCTGTAGCTGGTATGTCTGGTCCGTCCATGCGACAGTAAAACAGACACGGTAAGCCACAAGGTACCTTACCATGCTACCAGTAGAGTACGACATACACGGATATACACGGCATGCGTGGCCTATGGACAGGGCCCATATGGGCCCATGACAGGGGTGGACAGGGCCCATGGACAGGGTGTACGGTGTACTACAGGTTTTGCAGCTGGGGTTGCTGAGACCAGCCGAAGGTTTACGGATGCTCGCACAGTGGCTGCTGCCCTGGTACAGTAGCCTACATGAGTCCACAACCTGCCAGGACAAGGAACAAGTGCAAAGCTGGATTAGCAAAGGCGTACCAAGTGTCCAATCATTCACTATAGTATTGAACGTCGATGATATCCAATGTTCGTCGAAGCGGCATAATGAAGTGAAGGCTAGAATGCAGAAAAAAGTTGACCGAAAATGTCGTGGTACGAAACACTGAATTTCCCGGGACTTTGTTGCGGTACCAAGCCATACTTTCTCCAGGATTTCCGGAATTTCGTACATCCCCGGGATTTTGAGGGTTTCGTACGGCGCAGCACATCTGGTACGAAACCCTCAAAATGCCAGGAATTTCTGGGTTTCGTACTGAGGATTCGCCTTTAATTGTAAGGCAGACAGCTGCAGGCTTGCCGACGATCCCAATAGCCCGGGATTTTCGTGGTTTCGTACCGGCATCTGTCCTGCGCAAATCCGAAACCGGAGGAAGCGTGCAGCGTTTTATAAAGTAAACATTAATCAATCTGTTACTCAGAATAAGAGTTTGCATACCTCTAAGTTAAGAGCTTAGGGTTGTAGATAAAGAATATATGCAAATATAGAAACATAAAATGAATGGGAGGGACACGGAAGTCGTATTATAATCTTGTTTGTTTGCACGATCGGCGAGCATGATGCTCGGGTGTGCCTGCAACCTTGCACTCCATGCCAAGGTTACTAAGGCACGTCCTGTAACACAAATTTCCAACTAGTATTGGGACCGAAATTAGAGGCAAGCTTCGAGCCTCCTTCGAGCCCCACCTACCGAGCCACTGACCTCAGAATGAGAAGATGTTGGAATTCACGTAGCCCATGCTTTGCAAGGCTGGAATGCAAGCTTTCTCTAACATCACCGGAGGCCCACACATCAAGCACACGGTGTCCTCACTGGCAGGAAACAAACAGGCTTTGGTCATGGCTGGAGTCACAAAGCCCACATGACCTTTCCACGCTGAGGTGTAGTTCTTTTCATCAGAGGGGCTCACATTCTCGTCTGCGGAAGGGACTTTGTCGACGGTGAAACTCAGCACGAAGCGGTCGGGGTGCTTGGCCGCCAACTCCTCAAGCACATCTCGTGCAAGGATATCATCGGGCGTCTTGTTGGCGAACAGAAGTCGCACCATGGTCTTGTCCTCCGGATCCCGGAGGATTGCTGCCAGCACCTGGTAACACGGCGTGATGCCGGTGCCGCCAGCGATCATTGACATCTCAGTGACAAAGCGCGGCTTGCCATTCACAAGGCATTGGCCCTTGCCTTTGTAGACGAACTCGCCGATGGGTCCCTTGACGTCGATGGAGTCCCCAATCTTCATACTGTCCAGGTGCTGAGACATCTTGCCACCCTCCGGAAAGCTCGGATGCACCCCCTTGAAGTAGACTTTCACCAGCAAGTCCACATGCCCCTTGGTGTTGTCATCTGTCATGGGTGTGTACGCCCGCATCACGGGCTTGCCATCCACCTTGGCTTTCAGTGTCATGTGCATGCCGGTGGGAAGCCCCAGTGTCATCGACGGAGAAGGCAGCTTGAAGCGAAAGATTCGGGTGTCGTGGCTCACAACGATCTTCTCGGAAAGCTGAAGCTGTTGGCTCTCTCGGGGATTCAAGAATGGTGCAGGTGACGTGAAAGGCTTGAGGAGCGCTCGTCGGAGACCACTGAAAGGCGTGAGGAGAGCACTCAGGCTCCACAGCGGAGATGAAAGAATGCTGAGCAGCACTCTGCTAAAGCTCGGTAGAATTAGGGCAGCTTGAGCTTCTGTCGAAGCTGCCTTCAATGGGCCAATGTAGTAGTCCTTCAGCATCTCCCAAGCGCGCGAGGAATGCACTGCTTCAAAGTCCTCGGTGGCCTCGAGACCACCGGCAAGGAGGATGGAGGAAGCTCCCCCAGGGTGGTCTTGCAGATAAGGAGTGCCATCATAGACGTTACCTTTCACGACGAACCAGCAGCTCTGCTCGTTGTCATGCTTCTTAACTTCCTCCATGCTGATTCCTGCAAGCCACTCCTCCGTGGACTGCACCAACTTGCCTGCCTTGGTAGGCTTGATGGCCGCGGCTTGGCTGGCAGAACTGGCACCCGCAGCACTCACGGAGTCTATTTTGGCGCCCTTCCACACTGCAGCCACTGGCCGCAAGGGAGCCACGCCAGTCTTCCCCGGTGTTGCCTCAACTGCAAAGCTTTCGTTGAACTGACCTGCTTGATCAGTCATCCAGCCGCCCGGCATGGAGCCCTGAGTTGGATGCTCGAACCACATCCTGCTGCCTTCCCGGTGGATCTTGATGCGGTAAATGGGATTGTTCAACATGCCCATCACCGTCCAGGTGAGTTGCACAGGCTGACAATTCTG